GGACCTGGGAGACAAATGAATAGAAACGCTTCATCGCCAACAGGCTATACGGCCAGCGGCAAAGGGCGGACACCACCAGTGACAGGCCTGGGAGACACATGAATAGTGACAGACCTGGGAGATGAATAGAAATGCTGCATGGCCAGCGGAAAAGAGCGGACACTGGCAGTGACAGACCTGGGAGACAAATGAATAGAAATGCTACGTGGCCAACGGAAAAGAGCGGACACCCAGCAGTGACAGACCTGGGAGACAAATGAATAGAAACAGCGGAAAAGGGCGGGCACCACCAGTGACAAGGGAGGAGCTTTATCATGTTAAAGGGCGTCCAGTTCTTAACGGGCTATTTGCAGTAGAGAAGGGGGAGAGAGCCGTGGATGAAAGAGGCGAAGAGTTCGAAGTGTGTAGACTAATCATGAATCTAGTGCCAACCAACGGACTTTGCCGAAACCTGGTTGGGGACACCTCTACACTACCTACGGTTACAGGGATGTCTGGGACAGTCTTAGGAGATGGGGAACTGCTTTTGACACCACAGAGGATGTGAGGTGTTTCTTTTACCTCTCCAGAGTGGACGGGAGATCCCACCGGGGGGCCTCCCAGAAGGCTACACAGGCAAAGGTTGGCTCCTTGTCAGCAGGGTCTTGCCTATGGGGTTTATCAACTCCGTTGCAATCGCACAGCATGTCCACCGTCGAGTGATCCAGCAAGCTTTGCGGGGCGAGAGAAAGCTAGCAGGCAAGCAGCAAGAAATCCGTCGGGATCGCCACCAAAGCTCCGCATCCCATCAGTACCGAGTTTATCTTGACAACTACGATGAGTTGAACAAGGTGGACAAGCAGTTGGCAGAGACCTTGAAAGGAACTCCATCGGCATGGACACTGGCTGTACGTGAGGCCTGCGAGACAAATGAATAGAAACGCTGCATGGCCAGCGGAAAAGGGCGGAAATTAGCAGCGACAGACATGGGAGACAAATGAATAGAAACAGCGGAAAAGGGCAGCACCAGTGACAGACCCGAGAAACAAATGAATAGAAATGCTGCATGCCCAGCGGAAAAGGGCGGACACCACCAGTGACAGACCTGAAAGACAAATGAATAGAAATGCTACATGGCACCAGCAGTGACGGACCTGGGAGACAAATGAATAGAAATGCTTCATGGCCAAAAGACAAGGACACACCAGTGACAGACCTGGGAGACAAAAGAATAGAAATGCTACATGGTCGCGGACACCACCAGTGACAATCCTGGGGGGCACATGAATAGAAATGCAGCATGGCCAATGGACAAGGGCGGACACCAGCAGTGACAGACCTGGGAGATAGAAATGCTGCATGGCCAGCGGACACTGGCAGTGACAGACCTGGGAGACAAATGAATAGAAATGCTACATGGCCAACGGAAAAGGGCGGACACCACCAGTGACAGACCTGGGAGACAGACGAATAGAAATGTTGCATCGGCAGCGCAAAAGGGCGGACACCAGTGACAGACCTGGGAGGCAAATGAATAGAAATGCTGCATGGCCAACGGAAAGGGGCGGACAACGCCGGTGACAGACCTGGGAGACAAATGAACAGAGAAATGCGACATGGCCAGCGTCCAAGGGCGGACACCACCACTGACAGACCTGAGGGATGAACAGAAATGCTACATGACGGACACCAGCAGAAATGCTACATGGCCAGGAGAAAGAGGCGGACACCACCAGTGACAGACCTGGGAGACAAATGAATAGAAATGCTACATGGCCAGCGGAAAAGGGCGGACAGCAGCAGTGACAGATGCGGCGGACAAATCCAGCAGGAAAGGGCCAGTGACAGGCCTGGGAGACAAATGAACAGAAATGCTGCATGGCCAGCGGAAAAGGGCGGACATTAGCAGTGACACACCTGGGAGACAAATGAATAGAAATGTTGCATCGCCAGCAGTGACAGACTTGGGAGACAAATGAAAAGAAATGCTACACGAACGACCAGCGGGAAAGGGCGGACACCACCAGTGACAGACCTGGGAGACACATGAATAGAAATGCTGCATGGCCAGCGGAAAAGGGCGGACCAGCAGTGACAGACCTGAGAGACGGATGAATAGAAATGTTACATGGCCAGTGGAAATGGGCGGACACCAGCAGTGACACAAAGGGCGGACACGTCTCAAGAAAGAATTGATTACGCCCCTAACAGTGGGAAAAGTGGGAGACAAATGCAAGGAAGTGGGAGACAACCCGCCCGGAAACCCGACTACAAGCACCCAGCCTGGGAGACAAATGAAAAGAAGCGGGAGACAAATAAAAGGAAATGGGAGACAAATGCAAGGAAGTGCGAGACAAGCCAGCCGGGAACCGGACCACAAGAGAGACAAATGAAAAGAAGTGGGAGACACATTCAAGGAAGTGGAAGACAAAAGCACCCAGCCTGAGAGACAAATGAAAAGAATTGGAAGTCAATTGAAAAAGAAGTGGGAGACAAATGAAAGGAAGTGGGAGACAGCCAGCCGGGAACCCGACCACAAGCACCCAGCTTGGAAGACAAATGAAAAGAATTGGGAGACAAATGAAAGGAAGTGGGAGACAAGCCGGCCGGGAACCCGACCAGACCATCCAGCACCAAGGCGACCATTCTTTAAAGCATTGAGAACCCCTCACAGTAAACTGTTTGGGGAAAAATAGAATAAAACGATACCATGATTTCGAGGTATTGCAAAAGACACGGGATTTCTTTTTTTTCAATACCCCCTATAATTTGAAATTATTCCAAATATAGTATTATGTATTAAATTTATGATGATATGGTTGTTTTTTATGTAGGCATTAATTGTTTATATATGTATATATATATATATTTATCGTTATTATATAGATGAATTTATTATTGTATCTTGATGATATTTTTATCTGTAAATTAATATATAATGGTTATTATATTAATTGTTTTATTTTTTTGTTAATATTTGACACAAAAATTTGGTTTTATTATTTATCGAAAAGATAAAATGTGTTTTATAATGCTAAGGTGATTTTTTGATAAAATGAAAATTAGTGAGGTATGGGCTTGAATTAGGTATTATTATAAAGGATAAAAAGAATTTGTCGTCGGATTATTCGTATAAATATATTAAATATTATTCGGATATTTTTGCAATTAATAATAAATGCCGAAATGGATATATATTTATAGTATTAAATTAATAATCCGTCGCGCCATCATATTCCCTATCTAAATGGTCTTTTATGCCATAATCCCGGGCAAATTAATATACATAAAATTAATTTCTACTAAAATCCATAATTAGGCCATTAAAAATCTATTCTAGTACTAACCTTCGAATTATCTTGATTTTATATATTCCTTGGAATATCAATACGATAAAAGAATAGTTATCAAAAAGAATATATCTATAATTCTTCCTAATTATATTCATATATTTTTACCAATATAAATACGCCCTCAAAAATCACCGAATACAATTTTTTCTTCTTCATCTTCCACGATTTCAAAATCATTCGACCAAATCTATAAAAATTAATCTCCTACAAAAATATATTATTAGTAACTCCTACCAAATATACGAATATCAAAAATTCGCAAATCCAAACACCCTTAATTCTAGAATTTCCCCCAACCAACGAATATCTTACGATCGAAATTCCACTACCATACACTTGAGCGGGGAAACACGAAAGGTAGAGACGGATCGGGTAGCTGTCGGGACCTTTTCTGGTGAGGGACTGTCTCCGGTTTTTCAGGAATGTGTCCCTTGGTCAATCACACAAGAAGCCACGCGGCTCTGCAGAGAGGCTGCGTTACGTCGACGCTCGTTTGTTTAAAGGTGTGTCAAAAAAAGCGCGCGCAAAAATCGTAATACGTAAGCCAATTATAGTCCCACAACTGCACGCACTGTGTCAGGATTACAGGCCTGCACGCATTGCATCGAAGCCGCAATGACCAACCCCTTACAAGGATAGTGCTGGAGGGGCGCGGCCGGCACTGCCACGGATGGACGTCACGCTATGGTGGGCGTACTCCATGCGGAAGCGTTTCGCCACGCTAAAGTATAACGCTAAGTCGAATAATGTTCCGCGACGCGAAGGGTTTCTCCCCAATTCTTTGCAAAGAAATTGTGTCGAGCTCGTTAGTGTCGAGCAATATGGTCTATAAACGCAGTATCGCAATACGCGTTATGTCAAGCTTCCGGGTGCGCGCGCGCGGCACCGAAGCCGCATCGCGCGACCTCATTACGTAAGATTCGTGCTGTATTGCGCGATCTCCTAACCAACGTCAAATTGCTACCATTGCTAAGCGTATAATTTCACCTTATATCCATAATCCAAACAACCAAACCAATTCCTTTTCTTCGTAAAGCAAATTCAAAGTAATCCTTACCAAACTACCTTTCGTAAAAATATTATAAATACCTTTTATAAAAATCGTTCCCAAATCAAAAAAATATATATTAAAAAATTAATTTAATTAATTAATTTCCAACATTTTACCAAATATATATATAACTATTTTATTAATTTAAATCTATTTAATTATTAAATTACATCAATTAAATTCAAAAAATTCTTAATATATATAATATAATTATTTTATTAATTATTAATAAATTTCTATAATTAAATATATTATTTATTATTTCAATTATTAGAAATGATGTTTTAATAATATATATTTTAATTAAAAAAATCTCGTTAATTTTATTATTTGTTTTATATATTATATTGTTTTATTACAATATATATATATATATTTAAATAATTAAAAATATTATATAAAAGAAATAATAAAATAGACGAAATCATTTCATTTAAAAAAAATATATATATATATATTTATTACCCATATTTAATTTTGATGATTATTATAAATAAGTTTAGAATCTGCAAAAAAAGCATGTTGTCAATGGTGTATGATTAGAACAATTAAAACCTAATAATCAGATCATTCCTATTTCGGCCGTAACAACTCTCCACCACTTTTTGCAGCATTCAGCTAGTCCCTTGCACGTTGCCTGCTCATTGGGCGAACAAGCGCCAAGGGCATGGGGTCTCGCGACATACTCTGCAGAGCACAATGTCAATCAACACAATCGCAAGAAGCAAGGCTTTAGAAGCACCGACACAATCAATGATGAAAAGGATGCATGAAGTTCAAGGCGGCCTGTTGCTACTTGCGTGGAACCTTCCCAAAAGGGTGTAGTGTAGTGGAACTGGAGCTGGCCATGGTCAGCCAGGCTGGAGTCCGCACTGGAAACAAAGAAATCTCCGGAGATTTGCGCAGAGAAAATTCAAATGATTCGCTCCTCCCAGGGCTGGAGCAGTTTTCACACATCGCTCAAGAAGAAACTTGGAAAGGCAGTGGCGCTACAGGGTTTTAAACACATCTCTTACATGAATAGATCCCACTTAACTCGGTTTTCTTGGGTTGCACAAACGTCCAACAGTGAGGATGCACCGAATCTCTTCGCTCACAGGCTCCTCTCGTAACCAACTCAGCAGCTCCGGGCTCTTTTCAACAGTCTGGAGTCGTTGCGGAGTTGCCAACGCGTCGAGGAGGCGAGTGAAAGTGACGAGGGCCTATATTGGGGGATTTACTCTTCTACCGCGTCTGTTGCAAGCAGTCAAGTCTTGAGGTGTCAAGCAAGAATGAGAATCGTTTTCACAAACTGAATCTTGCCTGTCTCAGCCAAGGTTGAGCCTCAGGCATCAATCTTTGTATGACTTGCAAGGGAGATGAAGGAACACCTCTCCAACTCTAAGCAGAAAGCCCAAACGCTGCTACTGCTCAGGCCTGATCCGATTTCCGGTCCACGTCGGCGAGTCGAGGTGGCGATTCAGCTCGTCGAAGCTCTTCGCTTCGCTCGTCGTGCCTGGTTGAGCTTCCAGAAGGACCAAGCGATCCTGACAGATCGGACGGCTGGAAGCGGGCTCCGAAGAAGCGGGCTCCGAACCAAACACGCAGCTCTCACCAGGTTTTTGCGTGTCACCATCACAGCATCCCACAGCATCCATTTGAAGGAAAATGCAAGGACAAGCGTTTCGCCGAACAAGATTGCAAGACTGTATCACGAGACAACCCAATGCCTCTGGCTTGAAGCGAAGCAAACCATCCAGAAGCTGCGTAAATGATGGCGACATCACCTACCACATATCACATCTCGCCATGCAAAAGCCCAAAGCCCCAATCGACCCAAATCACTCTTCGACATGACGGTTTTCTCACTGACTTCCACCCACAGGGACACTCTCCTGCCGCTCCCGCCTGCTGCACGGGCTTCTTGTCATTGCCCACAATGATGCGTCGTTTGCTCATAAACTTCAGGAAGCCATGTGTGCGGACATACTCAAAGCACTTGCAAGCACCAGCTCGCGTAGAGATCCAAGGGTAGTCCTTCGATCAAACAAAAATATGTATGAATAAATGGACCACACCTCGAAAACCCTTTGAGAGTTGGTTACAGCTATTTGTTCTCCAAAGTTCTCACTTCTTTGCGGCAAATCATGTAAAAGGCTTGCTTTCAGGTCCTTCGCAAACAAGGCATAGAGGATGACACCACAGGAAAACACATCTGCCTGCGGACTTCACAGGGTGCATATGCAGAACAAAAGGATGACTGCATTACTTGAACTCGTCATTGCTGGGTCATTCGCAGCCACACCTACAATCAAGAACAACTTCCTTTTTGCCTACCACAGGTTCTGAACCTACCATATGTTCGTCTTTGTTGCCTGCAATGAAATGGAGTTGTCCCAAAATATGTCGGGATGTCCGAATTCCTCCTCCTTTGGACTTAAAAGTGATTCATCATGTTAATGCATACTTCGCAAATAGCCATTCGCACGCCTCTTTCTACTTCATTTAGGCCCTCCCCGCAGGTTCGCATGTTTTTTCCGTCCAAAAAACGGAAGGCCTGGAAGGCGTCATAGTCACCCAGGTGCATCTGACGGAAGCACGTCACGAGATTTCACGGACTTCTTACTCACACAGGTTCCAGCCTCCGGAGCGATATACGAGGCTTTGCCACATGCCGGTCCTGCAATCCAAAAGAAATCCGAACTCAGACTCCTTGACAATCCGAACTCTCTGTCATGGCCTGTATGAAATCTCTTCGTGGTTGCCATGCTGTAGTCAATGAGATAGACTGGTCCACCCTGCAGCACATTCGCTTTGTGCGAGTGCACATGAATCAGCCGCCGATTGCATGCTTCACGTTCTGCCGATGCCTTCTTGTTCGCCAAAAGCACGTTCTCCAACGAGAGATCTGCCCAACAGGAATAGATTTGCATGTTGTTTGTGTGTGTGTGCGCAAAAGGTTTCCATGTTTCCGGTCAGCCACTGGAGGGCCTCTATGTGCAAGGCCCAGCCTTGGTTGGCTTCGAATCTCCTTTTCTTTAAATCAACAACATTCATCTGAGCTCCAACCGATGAAGACGAGCAACAGCAAACAGAAATTCTACCTGAGCTGGTAGGCTTCAATCTTGAGGCCAATATGAATGATTTCCAGCAGAGGCGCGGATTTCGCCAAGCTGGGCTGGGTGCACACAAAAACAAATGTCTATTGCTTTTGTCATCCTTTACCATGATTGGCATGACAGTTGCAAATGGTTGCAACTTAACTCAATCGATGCAAGCGCCTGGTAGTGAGGGCTCAAATGTTTCAGTTCCCTTGCTTCAAGCCTCTTTCGTTGCCAAATTCATTGAACTGCATAATGAACAACCACTTGTACTACCCTCCATGGACAAAAGTTTATATATACCCTCCACGAACCCACGCACAACCATCTAGCTGTAGAACCCCAGAATGTGCCTTTGATCACGGAATGCCATGCATTCTCCAACTGATTGAATAGAATAAAACTTCACGGTGCCCAAATCATTTGTTCATCTTGTTTCAGATTAAAAATTGCGCTGCAACGGGGATGCATTATTTGACAAATAAAGGAATGACACACTGGCAGCGGTGTCCTCAAACAGATCACTTCCTGCCCGTGTGGCCCCAAACATCAATGGGTCACCTCCAGAACCCCAAGAACATGGCCGTGTAAGGAACATGGGGTAATGGGCAACCCCAAGACTTGTACAGTACCTTTCAATGGAAAACGTGCAACTTTCAAACAAGAAAAGCTTGAGGGGAGTGAGGAAGAAGCCATAGTAGCCAATCGCCCCAACATGCCAAAATGTGCTAAAGGCATAAAACTAGAATTCGCACATTGAACAACGACATGATAAAACGGTGCAGGGGATTTCCTGAGCCACGCATGCTTGCAGCTATGTCTGTATGCTTGCATAAACACCATTTGGTATACAGGTGTGAAGGGTCTGCAATGAGCGACAGAATCGTACTCTCCAACAGACTCAAGCAAGGCGGTATAAGGACTACTGACCCCCAAAAAGCACCGAAAGACGATGTTCTGTCAAGAGTGATGATGATGATGATGATGATGATGATGATGATGATGATAATGATAATGATGATGATGATGATGATGGTGATAGTGATGCTGATGGTGATGCTGATGGTGATGCTGATGGTGATGCTGATGGTGATTGTGATGGTGATGGTGATGATGATGATGATGATGATGGTAGGGGAACACGTTCGAAGGTTGATAGGTGTGGGTTGGGCAGGACCCTCACTCTGGGCATTACCGGACAGCACTTTGGGATGACCCTTACTGGATCCTGACGCCGCTCCTGAGAAACTGTGCACTTTGCATGATTTGATACTCAGGAGGAATGTTCATCCTTTGGCTGCTGGTGGATGATTACGGTGGAAGGACAAAGTGCTCAAAGCCACCCTTTGTTCCTAGTAGCTTCCTGCTCCTAGTAGCGATGCCAGGAGCCCCTAGTAGCTTCTTCAGAGAGTGCCATAGAGCATGCCTTTGCAACTGGGAAACCATGGCGGGAATCTTGGCTTCCCTTGATCAATCGTATGCAATGCGCTGGTGCGGCGCTGCATGCTTGCAATGTGTGGCCGGCAAACTTGTTGCAGCACTTGCAGCACCATCACCGAGCGCGGATTCACATGTCAGCCTTACTGTGGTGAAATCAAGAACATGGACGAACATGTCTGTACTTGTTTGAAACACTTTTGGGATGGGCAGCTCCTCTTCAAGCTTTTCGATTGACCACACGTGGTGAAGTACAGATTCACCTCTTTCTGAGGTTAAGGGGTCAACGCATCCTCCTGAAGCTGAGGGCGTCGTGAAAGAAATAAATCAATAACGAAGGAACGAAGGAACGAACGAACGAACGAACGAAGGAACGAAGGAAATAAGAAGGTGATGGTGATGATAGGGGAACATGTTCGAAGGTTGACAGGTGTGGAATGGGCCCAGTGGGGTGGAGCAGACCAAAAGAAACAGCGGCTCTTAGAATGCAGTGATCGTCCATGCAAAAGCGCCACTGTCGCCTTGAGGAAAAGCATTCTTGAGCATAGAGATGCTGAGGTTCGACTGCGCCCAGTCGTCCGATTCCGCGGGCGTCCTACATTGGATGCGATCGACCCATTTGTATTGGCATCCAATTGGCATCCGTTGTGAAACCCTCCTTTGGAGTGCACCTTGCAAGCCGATCGATGTGAACCGTGGAGACCTGGTTTGTGTGCTTTAAGTGACTGAAACCCTAAACCGTGTGGACTAGTTCTTCAGGATACACTGTACTATGGCCCACAACTCTGCTCTGATGGACACTTCTTTCTTGCTCAACTCTGTATGTGAGTGTGTGTGAGTCTGCGTGCGCACAACGTGCCACTTAGTCTGTACCTTCGAAGCTTCCGAAGTCCTTCTTCTATCTCTTAGACTCTATATAAGCTAGATGTCCTTTGACGAATCAAATGTGGTCTCTGATCGCTTAGCAAAGAAGTCATTTCTCACCGCGTCGCTCGAGCATTTGGCCACTCTGTGCGAGCATTGAGCAATTATATCGATGAGACACAAAGTCTACGCAGCGTGATTTGATCAGTGAGCTTGTCCGTCTGATTTAAAAGTTCAAAACAAACTCAGGCACCAACCGCTATAGGCTGTAATGCTTCTTCAAGTGCAGGACCAGGAACTGGCAAGGGAAAATGTAATGGCGCAACAAGGACACCATGGCATCTGTCGGTCAGAAAGAAACATGTGCGCTCCTGGAAGTCCCATCGCATCAACAAAGGAGAACAAATCTCCTCCCTGGCGGAGAAGTCAGCTATGAATCCATGCAAGACCTTTTGGGGGCAAGACCTCCGTAAATCTCCTAGTGCCCATAGTAATTATCCATGTCCATGGCATCCATGGCATAGGGTATGGCATGGTTCTTAGGAACTGCTGGCATGTTTCATCAGCTCAGTCAGTCCAACCTCGGCAAGTCCCATGACGAAGGCAATGTAGTCTTCGTCTCGGAAGACTCCTCTAAAATCGACGCAGTGCTGGAAGCCGACCAGGTTCAGCCACCTGGCAGTCTTGATGTGGCTCAAAAGATCTCCAAAGTAAAACGAAAAGGCACGTCAACAAGGGTGTTACGTCTATTTGTTCAGGTTTCTTTCCGCCTTTTCCATCACTTTCCACGTTCTTTTCTTCGAAAATCACAGCTTTCCCGCCTCGTGGCAGCCATGTCCATCCACGGCACCTCGACCAGTAGTGCCGTAGGCAAAAGACTCATGGCCATGGTCTTTGGCTTTCCAACCCCAGCGGCCCCGGAGCGCCTCCGTCTCGGACGGGTACGTGAACCGAAAAGCATCTGCATCCTGAACAGTCGCGCAAGCGCGTGTCCGTCGCGCAAGCGCGTGTCCGTCGGACAGAAATCGAATGGGATGGAGTTTGGGAAGGAGGAATTGCAAGCACACTGCTAGACAGGCGAAGAGTACGCATCCAAAAGAAAACCTCGATGTCCCGCACCACACGACTGCCTTGCAGGTCCATGACAATGGCATTCTCTTCACCGCCAGGCGGCGTCCTGTAGAGCGCTCCTGGGCGCACCCCGATCAGTGGCCCGCCCAGTCTTTCGTTTTAGGCGGCGATCCTTAGGAGTCTTTCGTTTCCTCCAAAAAACACTCAGTTTTGGTACGCTGTACAAAGTCTTCCCCTCGCTCTGCAACGTTTCTTTTGGTTGCCCACCTGCACTAGTCTTACTTGGCCAGCATTCCGGGGGCAGCTTTGCAACGTTGCAACCACCTGACGCAGTGTGACCGCTGCAGAACTTTACCGTTTGGGTTTCAGTTCATCTCCCAGCCTCAAATTTCCCAGGATCCCAAGGCTCCAAATGCTTGTCTATACACCTCGTTCCATGCGCATTGCCCCCCAAAATGCCACTTGACAACTCAATCAGCACATGGAGTCTACTTGCCTTAGGATCATGATGTCGTCAACCTGGCAGTTGTCAACATGTGGGTGTGCCACTTAATAGGGAGACCCGGAACCAATGGGTATATAAACTGCTCTAGTTCCCTTCTTCCAGCGGGTCGAACCGGGAGGTCTTCCTATTTTTGTGCACACCCATGTGCGATTTCAGCCCGAACATCTTTTCCAAATAACTGCGCGTGCAAAGCTCAGAGGCCTTCCCAGGCTGCAGAACCTGGAGATCGACGCGGGACGTGCGGGACGGGACGGGCCATGTGACCAAGGTGACAAGACGGGTGCCTCAGCCTTCTCAATGGCCATGCCAGGGACATGGCCAGCAATCCCTATTAAGAACAACAGACCAATGAGATTGCAACAGCACCCAATGCGGGATCACAGTGCTTGAGTCTTCGAGTAGTCAGTAGTGAGCCTTTGCTGCACTAGGCAAAGCGCAAAAGACTTGCCCCTTTGCTCTTCTACAACTTTAGTCATTTCCATCTCTTTCACATCCTCAAAAACAAAGGTAGCAAACCACTTGGAGCTATGTATATGCTTCTGTGACCTGATGGCTGCAATTTCGTCGGGCCCAATGAGCCAGAACTGGCTGCCGGTTCACACCTCACTGGCTTCAACTTGGAAGGTCATCGTCCCAGTGTCCGTGCGCTCGCACCAGAGACTTTACCGCAAGTCTTCACTGCCATACCGCTGCATCCAGGTGTCTATGTCGGGCATGGCATCTTCCTGTGCAGCCACGAGAACCCACAAACGAAACATTACAAAACTGATGCTCGTTCGTGGTCTGAGAGTTCTCCTCATTTTCCTCGCTCTCCTCTTCATCTTCTTCTGTTGCATCCTGGAAGAAAAAGCGGAGGGGAGAGGGTCAAAGTGCTTAAGCCTCTACAGCAAATGGTTCCGAACGCGAAGCCTGTGAAGCGGTGCTTTCAAGGTGCCTAAAACAAAACATCTCGCCCGAAACAAATGTTTCATCCACCTGTGAAGCCCTCACTATGCTCCCAACGGCTTGTCTTGGCCCTTCTCCAGGCATGCTTCGCCTGCAGAGAGCGTTTTGTATCTCCAAAAAAATCAGAACTCATCCCAAATGTCTTACGATACGTTTCAGAGCCGTTGCACGTTGCGGGTTGCAGAGTGCGACAACATCATGGGTCGTATCTCAATCAGCTCAACCAGCGCCCGCCTTTACAGCTGTCAGCCTGCAAAAGCTCAAACTCTCGAGTCAAAAGCAGCTGGTTTGGGATCCTGCCTCTGATTCACTAGCAGTATCCTAGGCCAGCCACCCTCTTTTTGAAATCTCGAGTCCATGAAGCGTAGCAAAAAACGATTTGTTCTGATACCAACCGCAGTGTCCTGGGCCACCTCTTCTCTTTCCAAATCAGAGTCCTGTTCTGCAATCTTCAGCACTGGCACTCACCCTCTTGAGGGGTCTTTGGGTGTCTTTGCTTTCTGTGCAGGACATTGCCATATGAGGGGTCCTGCCTTGTATCCCATCGCTTCCCATCGAGCATCTATCCATCGGGTCAGCATTTCAGTCTGCCGGAAAAGTACAGACAACTCGGTTAAGCTGATAAGCGCTTTGTTGGCTGCCAACCATCACACTTCATGCTGACCAAAGATGTGGCACAACTTGTCCCAGCAAAGTTGTGGGACTCTATAGGTCTTTCGTCTGCCATCGAGGCTGAAAGTGTCCAGCACTTCTTCTCACAGGTCGTGTTCAGAGGGTATGAAAGGTTTACAACAAAACCTTCCAAAACAGGAAGATTGACAAGGGCCCTAGACGTGGCTAGGGCCCTTTAAGTCTATCAAAGTCAAAAAGCTGCGCTGACCTTTGCAATCACTGTTCCCAAAACATGACTTTTATTCCAACACACCCGCCGAAATGCTTTGACCTTGCCTGGCTCACCCCTTCTAGTTCGCACATCTCTTCAAACCTCAAGTGGACATCTGCGTCTGCAACACAAGAATACAGCGTTTGGACCACAGACGGGAAAAGGAATGGCAAAAAGCTGCACGTCGAGTTCCTCAGCATATCGCATCCTTTGAACGTCTGGTGGCAAATCCACCTGCACACCGTGACCGCCGTGACCACTCCGGCAGTCCATTTCTCTTGGCATTTTTGTTTCCTCTTTCGCCTGCAAAGCGACCATATCGCTCAGCCCAAAGATCCTGACAGTCATAAAAAATGATCGGTTTTGGCCAAAGAGTGTTGCAGTAAGGGTTAAAGGATGGAATTCAGATTGAGGGTTGGCTCGCTCCCCTGCGCGGTGGAGTCCCAGGATCGTGCTAAAGTTCCCTCGAGTATCTCGGGAGTCTGAAAACCCTTGCACAAGGTTCGCGCTCTTTGAAGCGAAGTCTCCTACCACCCCCCACGCTGCTTGGGGTCTTCCCGGGATGACTTTTGGGGTCAACCGGTGTTCCACAGTTGTGATGCAAGTCCAAATGCAGGCTGCTCTTTGGAACAATCTCACTTCAACTGCATCACCCTCAAGGTACAAGTACCTGTTGAGAAAAAAGGACTGAATGCTCGTGGCGCACACGTTGTTCTGGTGGTGGACAAGTTCGGGTTGTGCTTCTCACGTCCGCATGCCAAAATCGGCGGACCTGGAACTCTGCAATCCCATCAAAGGCACGACGGACAGCGCTTTCCTTAGGGACTTGACTCAGACTGTAACACAGAAAGAGCACAAAGAGACTGTCTTCATTCAGAGCCATCGAACGTGGCACCAAAGCCAAGCACCCCGCATCGGGAAGAGTCAAGCTCTGACCAAGAGATCCACATCAAAAAGGATAAAGGAAAGGAAATGCTCTTGGACATATCATATCAACGTATATAATATAAATGTTCTTTGGCTGCACTTGGAACCCGGCAGGAGCTAGCTCATATTGGAACTTGTCCAACCGTGGAAGCTGGAGTGTTTTAAGTTTGGCTAGGTGTGGTTTGCGGTGTTCTCTGGCGCATCAAGTTGCTTCTGTAAACAGCTGTTTGCCCAGCGTCACGGTCTGGGACGAGCGGCAAACCGCCAGTTCTGCTTCTATGCAAACAACCGGAAAGCACCGACCCTCAAACTGTCGGACTCGCCCAAACCCGATTTTCTACCAGCAATCGATCCGGTGCCAGGAACCACTCTTTGGTGGGTCTCGCCAGGGCGCCTGGAAGAAAACATGAAGGTGACCAACATGCGTAGCATTGCGTGGCATTGCGTAGCTGCTACAGGCCAACAGCGCCTTCCAATAGTCATCACCATAGTTCAACAACCTAACTCAAGCAGTCCGGCACCCTGAAGCTATGTATTCTTGATGTCTTGTGCGACTCAATTCAGAGCATGGCAATTCTTCGCCAGCTTGCACATCTCGTTGGCAAACCCAAGCCTACCAAGAAGCTAACTCAGAGTCTTTCTCTCACAAAAAGAGAGCGCTACGGGAGGCGGCAGGACTCAAAAAAAACGAAAAAGAAAAAATTAAAAAAAGACATGCAAAAACTTGACCTGTAGAAACGGCACGTTGGCATAGCGGTGCGGGTAGACATTGGGCTCATCGGAGTGGTTGTACAAGGCGCCCAGACCTCGGTCTCTTCTCTCTTCGGTGATGTTTGTTCAAAACGCTCCTCTCGGAGCACGAATGGAGTCCCATGACATTCGTAAAGGAAAGTAGTCTTTCAAATGACGAATTATTTTCCCACTTCCATGTCAGTGAGTGTAGGTGCTTCTGTGCTTCCTCTAGTTTAGGACCACCTTGCAAACGCCTTCCTGCAAGCTGTTCACACAACGCCCTTGTGAGTCTGCTAAGGCAAAACGCTCTCTGTGGTCGGTTCTGTACGCCGCCGGTGCGCCACGTTACGAATCGCCCCTAAGATACACCGTGGGTGAGGCCTTATATATGACCCCCCCTATAGCTTCCAGCTATCTGGGGAAATAGCAGTATTGGCGCGCGGTTTGCACACCAATGACCCGCAGAGTGCAGCAGTTGTTGCTCAGCCCAGCAGTGCAGCGAGGAAAGGGGTTTATCTGCGACACGCATACAGGACCATCTGCGCAACCCAGGGGATGGATCGTCTGCGACACACGCACTCGTGGGGGGCACATGGGCATACAATCATGTCCCTTTTCATGCCTTTCACATCACTATTGCACTCACTGGTCTTGCACACGATACATACCCTTCACATCACCATGGCGCTCCATACTTTTGCACCGGATGGTCACATGCTGTGGAGAGTGTGGGGGGGGTGGGCCAACAATCACATTCCTGTTGATACCTTTCACACCACTCTTGCACACAATGACCTTTTACACAGTTGATGCCCTTCACATCAGTGTCACAGACGACGCCGCGGCTCGAGTGACATCGACGAACCGCCGGGTGATGGGGTGCTGCGCTAGTCATCGGTGCACCAAATACTGCAAAGGTGTTACAGTAACAGTACGCGGGTGTACGGTATGTCGTCTTGGACAATCACCACCTTCAGCCTCTTTTAGAACCAAGCGGATCATACAAGTCGTTCGTGACAGCTCAGGGCCTCAGATTCCGACAAAAAAATTACACCAGCATAGACCCCAGATAGCAAAAGCATGAAACAGAATTTTCCGGACTGCACCCTGCATTGGCAGTAGCTCCAAAGCACACACAGGAACCTTTCTTACACACTGGGAAGAAACGCCGCAATACAACGTGCCGTGTCTCCACTACGCGCACAGCCAGCACCAGCACCCAGCACCGGAACGCCAGCTCACAGCACCACCGGCACCCTGTCCACCACGCGCACAGCCAGCTCACAGCACCCAGCACCAGCACCACAGCAAGCGCACAGCCAGCTCATTGTTTGTTTTGAAGCATGAACCCCATAGCTGTCGCTAGCTGGGGAATAAAACATTGGCACAGATTGGGCGACCGGCCCCAGTGTCCACTGAATTCATGACCTCAAAAATAAGATCTGGCCTTTTCATGGACCTGGCCAGCCTAGCCACCTCCATGTCTCAACCGCAAGCCCTTGCACTGCGAGCATTTCTTGGTGCATTGTATGGATTCACATCCAAAACGGCTAACAGTGGGGCCCCACTTCCTCTGCCTTGCTTGAACCCACCAAAACATACATAAGGTTTCCCTTTTGGACTTTGGAACTGCCTTAGAGCCATCCACAGAAGTCAGGATTTAAAGCAAGGACACCTTACCATGCAATCTTTATGCTTCCACAGCACCCATCAATCATCCGTGCGATGGACTGCTCAGCTTCTGGTCCTTGAATTGGATTGACTGAGTGATGAACCTAGCGGAAGAAGGACAAAGGGACACACTCCTGGCAGTCGGCCGGAGTGTTTCAAAGCCACAATCACAACTCATGAGCCATACATGCAACAAGCAGCGCACCT